TCCCCGATAGATCGATTACTACCCGCCGATCCGGTGGGTAGTGAAGACGTACCCCTAGAGAAGAAACTAGCTGAAGCATGAATGAGATTGTCTTGTGGGCTTCCTGACAACTCCTGGCAGCAAGAAGCAAATTGTTGAGATGGAATAACTTCACAGTCTTCTCCTATGTAAAATGAGCTGTTAGTTCCAGGAAGACCTTGGCAAAGACTTGGGGAGCAGTGGTACGGCTGAATGGGAGCATTCTGTATTTGCAGTGGTCTGAGAAAACGTCTGTGTATCGGGGGAATATCTACATGAAAGCAAGCATTCTTCATATCAGGAGTGGTAAACCATATGTCTTTTTCCAGGGATGAGATTATAAATGCCACAGTGACCATGCGAAACTTCAGTTAACGGATAATTCCAAACTCCCTTCTTTTGGAGGATTAGGAAGTATGTAGAGTAAAAACCTTTTTCTCTTGGTACTGAACAGGTACGAGTTCTACTGCTCCTCGTTGGACGAGAGACTCCATTTCCTGTCTGAGAATCCTCTCATGAGAATGGCCCCTGAAGAGGAACAGGATGGGGGTTTTGGAGAAGATAGGGAAGTAAACAATCATATAGCCAAACTGGCTATACCAATCTATACATCTAATACCCACTTGTCCATAGTCCTGGCACTCCAGATGTGGAAATACAGTGCTAAACGACCCCCAACTGGTATGTGGGGGTTGGGTGGTGGTATTGTTAATGGTTTGTAGCTCTCAAATTCCAGTCAAAATTTTATTTTCATCAGCGGATGGGATTGAGATGGTACTGTAGATGTGAGGATGCAAGGAAACAAGACTTCTGTACTCTCTGCCTCTTATGAGGAGGGTCATAAGATCACTGGTGATAAAACAGAGGTGCCGGTCTTGGTCTGTAAGGCTGCCTGTGCTATTTCCTTTTTGGGGTACGTGTATACATTACCAGGGAATGGAGAGTGGCTCTAGAATCCTTTGAAGTGTGTAAGGACTTTCATTGAAAAGGGTGTCTCATCTGTCCTTTCACTGAAAAGCCCTTTGGTGAAGACAGCCAAGTCCTCCATGGTGTCTTGGATCTCCCTGGGAAATCCTGAGGTGTGTAACCATGACTCTCAACCAATTACAATGACTATTGCCATCGACATAGATGATGTCTCTGCTGTATCAACTGCTGATTGAAGTGCAGTTCTGGCCACCAGCTTGCCTTCATCAATAAGAGCCTGGAAATTAGCTCTATCTTGTTGTGGTTGCTTGTCTACAAAATCCATGAATTTTGAGCAGTTGAAATAGTTGTACTTAGCCAACAGTGCTTGACAGTTCACTATACAAAAACTGAAGGCTAGAAGATAGTTTCTCTCGGCGGTAAGGGCTTATGTTGCTGGTGTATTCCCAGACTGCTCTAGCAGGTTCAAGAATAAACTTTGTTGACTGGAAGTGTTATTTGGCTGAATCTGGTGGTTTGCAAAATATCCAGGAGTTTATGCTGGTGATCCTGGCCTCTTCCTGAGAGAGATCTGGAGTGCTTCTCCCACCCTGTGCAATAACTACTGAGTGTTTATGGTCATCCAGAGGTGACGGAGATGCCAGGGTGACTGCATCATCAGGAGACAAAAGTAGCAAACTTCTTGGTATAGGCGGAACTGGTTCACAGTCCTTGTCTTCAGCAGGGTCAGGAGGAAGCTTTGACTGTTCAGAACAGGGTCTGGTATGGAAAGAGCCCTCACAGGATGGGCTTTAGAGTGCTGTCCCAGGGACTCAGTACATCTTAAGTTCTTAGAGATTGACAGAGTAGGTTCTCTCAACTTATGTGGCATTGTGTCAGATGATCTAAGAGCCAATTTAGAAGGGGACCTGCCTTTATGTTCGTGCAAGCACTCTCTGCCTTCCTGATGAGCCTCTGTGGGTACAGACTCTCCTGTAGCAGAGTTGGACCTCGTGGCACGGGGTGTACTCCATGTAGATTCAGGCCAATGTATGGGAGGCAGGAGGGGATCCTACAGCCTGGGTCTGACTGCAGCCTCCTGGCCTCCTATTCTGAGCCAAAATTCCCACGGCTCACAGGTATGGCTAGGGAAAGACTGGCAGATATTACACCTAACTACGATGTGTGCCTCTCTGAGACAGCATAAGCAGAGCAAATGGTCATCGCTGAGTGAAAAGGAACAGGGGCAGGACACACAATTCTTGAAGCTCTGAGTCCTGGGAATAGTCTGATACACGTAACAGTGTATTGGGAGGGTGGGGCAGGAGGTAGAAAATCTACCTAACTATAAATACTTTACTAAAAGTTATTAAAACTATAGAAATAACTATAACAACAAAGGCAATGTTTAATATTTACAGAAAGAAGAATTCGAAGGAGAGCTCCAAACACTGGAGGTTCCAACACAGGCATGTTGAAATAAGAAGAAACTGGAGAGGTGGTCGGCCTGCCTCCCCTTATCTCCTTGGTTGAAGGCACGAGGAAAGCAAGGGCACACATGCAGGCTAAGGGACACTACTTTCAAAATTCTCCGACTCCAGGCACATGGAACACATGTATATCCCACAGTGGAATACATACAGGGACCAGCATCCAAAGAAGAACCAGTGGTATCCTGTCCAAAATATATCTATGCAAGCTGGAAGAAAATTCTTTGCTTTTTAACTGTAAACAAATATGATTTGTGTTAAATCAAGCTTGGACTTGAAAAAAAAAAAAAAAAAGGATATTCTCATAGCTGCCATTGAAACAACTGGTATTGAAGCAGCCAGACTAATAAGCAAGCAAGGAATGGTACAATTCTGAAGTTGCAAAATGACCTTTTTTGTCTAAAAATATAACAGAAGGCTCAAAATTCACCATGCAAGTCCAAAATATATCTAAACCATCAATGTAAGTTCTTTGAATTAAATTCCAAGGTGTCAATTCAAACTGATATTTTGCTGTTATCTTCACAATGTTTGCTGCTAATTTCCTTGACTGCATAATCTTGCTCATAGCTGTTCTAATTGATTGACTTTCTGGTCAATTTTATGCAGTCTAAAATTTCACGCAGCAGGAAAGGGTTAAGGGAAACTGATGATTGTCTAGCTTTCCTTTTAATACAGTTACAATGGCAGAATGTTATTACATAGGCCAGATTTTCAATCCATTCCCCACACACATATGCACAACTTTGCATGCACACACAACTGAGTGCTGAATGCTCTATCACCCGTTTGTGAGGTGATGGAATTCATCAACTGCATATGCAGGTGACAGCCACACATCTACAAATAGATGGGACTGCCATCTGTAACAGATGCACACGTTAAGATATACTGGCCTGCTTAGCAACCACATAGCGAGTACGGCCAAGAACACTTTTTCAACCTGCACCTGGAGAGAAAAATGCAACTTCTTCTCTTTGATGAAGACCTTAGGGCAGTTATTCACGTTGACATTGACGCCATTAAGAAACTGAAGTTAATCAGGCAATTATATTCTGCACTATTAAGCATAATTCTGAGCCAGAAGAGACACACCAATGCTTTGGAATCTGTATTGACTGCCAAATAAGTTTCTTGGTGGAATTCACAGTGTTGATTTTAACATACAAAGACCTAAATGGTTTGCGACATGGTTCCCACAAGACCACCTCTCTCCCAATGCCATACTGCTCCTCTTGAGATCAGAGATGCTTAAGATAAAGCTCCCTTGTTATGGGTCTAACCCTTCATTATATTATATGCTGTGTAAACAATCCTTAGTGGGGCATCTACATGCTAGCACAACTGAAATAAATAGAAGTAGGCAATTGAGAGCGCTCTCCCCATAAGAGATCACTGCTTCTGGATTTTACTTACTCTGGTTCGTCAGAGCCCAAATCTGTTAATCAGCAGGCCCATCCTATCCCCTAGGTATTTATGGCAGGGAGGGTGTTGAGAATTAAAGAGGTCTATGTGAGGTGGAAAGGTTTCTAATCTGCTGGTACTGGAAAAGCAATCCATTACGCTGGGGGGAGGGGAGGAGGGCTAAATTAAATTATTTCAGGGCCTCTAAAGTCCAGGCAGACACCTATTTTTGTTATCAATATAAAAATAAATATATATTTGATACGGCTAAATTTAGTTCTAATACCAGCTGTCAGAATCTGTAAACAATTTTAAATGTTTTTCAGCACAGAAGCTGAGCTATCTTCCCTTTGTGGCAATGGACTGGGGTTACACTAGAGCTTTACTTTCTTTAAAACTATAGCTTTGAAATCACAAACCAAGTTCATCTTTGCAGTAATTCCATTGATTCTTATTCTAAAAAAAAAAAAAAAAAAAAAAATACTCTATTCTTACTTATTAGGTGGTAGGATATTTTGTGTAGCCACTACTACTGTTTTGGGTACATTTCTACAACTGACCATATCTCCCTGTATTATAAAAGGAAAGGAAAAAAAACATGGACTAATCTTAATATGCTGGTTCTTCCCACAATTTAATATTTTGAAAACAAGCTTCTACTGTACTTTACAGAGCTTTGACCCTGCTGCATCACCTACTCGCACCCCTTTCCCCCTCCCCGCTGTTCTAGTGCTGAATGGAATCTAAATGGAAAAACATTAAGCTTCCTTATTTGCTTTTTTATTATCCTTGTTTAAAGTACCTGAAAAATGTCTACACAGAGAAGACAAATTGCTCCTGAAGGCCTATGAATACTGGTTATATCAGCAAGACAAAGAGAACAAACCTTTCAGTAATACCTACCAAACAGACACTCCTATCCTAATACCATGAATTATCACACTGGCAAGTGAGCAAATTATTTTAAAAGGGTAAAGAGTAACTACAAAAGAAAATTGCACTTCTACTTTGCCTCACGTATGAAAATTACTTACGCTCATTATAAAAATATCAAGTCTAACAGACATAGCAATTAGAACCCCATATACACTCTAAAAAGCCTTCCTACTCTGAAATTAACATTTTTAGTCAAAATCTGTAAAAAAAACAAACCAACCAACCAACCAAAAACCACACACTTACTTGCATTTCTTGTCGGATCCTTCAGTCTGTATATAAGCATATATGCATTTGTGGAGCTAAGAGGGAAATATTTTTAAGAATATCAGTATCTGACTTGGAAGCCAAAATAAATTTTTTTATTAAAGTTATTAATATAATAAATAGCTGTACATGGCAACTGTAATACTGTATATTAATTCAATAATCACAAATATTGTTTTTAAACATGAAATTCATACTATTGCTAGAAGATTTGAAATTGTCATCAATTTTTAGAATTATTTTGCATACCATTTTTACCATAATGTGGCATGCAAACAGTTTGGTTGGACTATACCAATATTAAAAAAGAAAGAATATTAGAGATATACTAACCTAGCAAAAGCACTGGAATAATAGCCTCTGCTTCCAGAGGACCCACCATATGTTTTCTTAATATCTTCTTGGGTAATCTAGAAGCAAAACCAGTTGGTTTTTTTTTAAAAAGTTCATTCTTTGTCAAGTAACAATAGTCAATGAGCATTTATTAGTATTGGAAAAACTGACAATCTAGTCAATGTGGACTCAGATCATACTAAACTCATCACTATTTTACATTTGTTTCTTTTTATTTTCTAAATGCACAAGAAAATAAAAGTTGTGTGTCTAGAGGTGATTAGGTCTCCCTTTTAGGTTGAAAAATAAATATCCTTAATTTTTTTGAAGTGTGAGTTTTAGACAAATTTTAATATGCATTATGAGAAACATGACAGCAAATACAGTCTCTTTCAACTTCCATATGAATTTCAAAAGTTACTTCTATAGCATGGTTTAAAAATTCAAGTAAATACGTTCAATGTAGAAAATCCCAGAAGGCACATTTCCTGTTAGATAAGAGTTCAAAGAAGGTCATACTTCAAAAAAATCAGTCCCAACTGGAAAAATGTAGAAGAAAAGCAAGTTGTAAGCTCTCTTAAAACACTTTGGGTCAGCTACCAAAGAAACCCTAATAACTACAAGCGATGGATTTGCCTAATTTAAAATGGTACAGTAACAGTATGGCTTTGCTTAAGCTACACCTCAAATTCAATATTGTATGTATGTGTGTGTGTGTGTGTGTGTGTGTGTGTGTGTGTGTGTGTGTGTGTATATACACACATACATCCCCATAGACTTAGTCGGTCCTCAGAGCATCCACTAGCATCACCATCATAACTTTTGTAAGTGTTTTGGGAGTACGGCTACTAAATTCTTTTTAGGGACAGAAATCTAGGATAAAATCTTGACTCAATGGGAATTTTGCCATTGACTTCAAATGGAGCTCTTGTCAGTAAAACAATAATGTAGATTTATAGTTACATTTAGCATAGAAACATAAGACTGGAAGGGACCATCTAGTCCAGTCCCCTGCACTCATGGCAGGATTAAGTATTATCTAGACCATTCCTGACAGGTGTTTGTCTAACCTGCTCTTAAAAATCTCCAATGACGGAGACTCCACAACCTCCCTAGGCAATTTATTCCAGTGCTTAACCACCCTGACAGGAAGTTTTTCCTAATGTCCAACCTAAACCTCCCTTGCTGCAATTTAAGCCCATTGCTTCTTAGAATCATAGAAGAATAATAGAAAATTAGGGTTGGAAGGGACCTCAGGAGGTCATCTAGTCCAACCCCCTGCTCAAAGTAGGACCAACCCCAACTAAATCATCCCAACCAGAGCCTTAAAAACCTTTAAGGATTGAGATTCCACCACCTCCCTAGGTAACCCATTCCAGTGTTTCACCGCCTCTTACAGAAAGAGTTTTTCCTAATATCCAACCTAGACCTCCCCCACTGCAACTTGAGACCATTGCTTCTTGTTCTGTCATCTGGTATCACTGAGAACAGCCTAGCTCCATCCTCTCTGAAACCCTTCAGGTACTTGAAGGCTGCAATCAAATCCCCTCCCGCCCCCTCCCACTCTAATCTTCTGCAGACTAAACAAGCCCAGTTCCCTCAGCCTCTCCTCGTAAGTCATGTGCCCCAGCCCCCTAATCATTTTCGTTGCCCTCCACTGGACTCTCTCCAATTTGTCCACCCCTTTGTGTAGTGGGGGGACCAAAACTGGACGCAATACTCTAGATGTGGCCTCACCAGTGCTGAATAGAGGGGAATAATCACTTCCCTCGATCTGCTGGCAACGCTCCTACTAATGCAACCCAATATGCCGTTAGCCTTCTTGGCAACAAGGGCACACTGTTGACTCATATCCAGCTTCTCGTCCACTGTAATTCCCAGGTCCTTTTCTGCAGAACTGCCGCTTAGCCAGTCATCCCCAGCCTGTAGCAGTGCATGGGATTCTTCCGTCCTAAGTGCAGGACTCTGCACTTGTCCTTGTTGAACCTCATCAGATTTCTTTTGACCCAAACCTCCAATTTGTTTAGGTCACTCTGAACCCTATCCCTACCCTTCAGCATATCTACCTCTACCCCCCAGATTACTGTCATCTGCAAACTTGCTGAGGGTGCAATCCATCCCATCATCCAGATCATTAATGAAGATGTTAATGAACAAATTAATAAAAACAAAACATTAATGAACAAAATCAGCCCCAGGATGGATTCCTGGGGCACTCCACTTGACACCAGCTGCCAGCTAGACATCAAGCCATTGATCACTACCAGTTGAGCCTGCTGATCTAGCCAGCTTTCTATCCACCTTATAGCCCAATTCTTGTCCTATCCTCAGAGGTTAAGAACAATTCTTTTCCCTCCTCCTTGTAACAACCTTTTATGTACTTGAAAATGGTTCTGTCCCCTCTCTGTCTTCTCTTCTCTGGACTTTTTCCAATTTCTCCACATCTTTCCTGAAATGTGGCGCCCAGAACTGGACACAATACTCCAGCTGAGGCCTAATCAGCAGAGTAGAGCGTAGAATTACTTCTCATGTCTTGCTTACAACATTCCTGCTAATACATCCCAGAATTATGTTCGCTTTTTTTGCAACAGTGTGACACTGTTGACTCAGGGCCGCCCAGAGGCTTCAGGGGGCCTAGGGCAAAGCAATTTCGGGGACCCCTTCCATAAAAAAAGTTGCAATACTATATAATACTATATTCTCGTGGGGACCCCTGTGGGGCCCGGGGCAAATTGCCCCCCCCCCCCGGGGTGACCGTGTGGTGACTCATATTTAGTTTGTTGTCCACTATGACCTCCAGATCCCTTTCCGCAGTACTCCTTCCTAGGCAGTCATTTCCCATTTTGTATGTGTGCAACTGATTGTTCTTTCCTAAATTGAGTACTTTGCATTTGTCCTTATTGAATTTCATCGTATTTATTTCAGTCCATTTCTCCAGTTGGTCCAGATCATTTTGAATTTTAATCCTATCCCCCAAAGCACTTGCAACCCCTCCCAATTTGGTATCGTCCGCAAACTTTATAAGTGTACTCTTTATGCCATTATCTAAATCATTGATGAAGATATTGAACTGAACCGGACCCAGAACCGATCCCTGGGGGACCCCACTTGTTATGCCCTTTCCAGCATGACTGTGAACTATTGATAACTACTCTCAGGGAACGTTTTTCCAACCAGTTTTGCACCCATCTTATAGTAGCACCATCTAGGTTGCATTTCCCTAGTTTGCTTATGAGAAGGTCATGGAGACAGTATCAAAAGCTTTACTAAGGTAAAGATATGTGAAGCTTTGGAGCAGGACAGGATTAACTCCACTACCTTTGAATTATGGCAGAACTATTACATTAACTCTTTAAACAAGCAGGAAGTTGCCCTTGTGTATTTTAAAGGGGAAGGCATAAGACTAAAGCGGACAAGGCTTTCACATTTAACAGGAGACTTCCACTCCTATAAGACTTTCCCTCCCTTAATCATCAGGATGCCTTATGGAAGTTCATCAGAACCATCCTCAAAGTCTTTACAGGAAGACAGTGCCAGGACCATGAACTTTTCTCCTAGGGTCAGGGAACAATTCCTTAAGGGAAGAGAGATGGGAATGTTAGACTTCTCAAAATCTTTAGCCAGAAAGAATATGTTGTGTTTTCTTATGTACAGAGGTGGCGTGGAAGAAGGGGGACAGTAAATAAAGAGCAAAATTAGCCTAAAAAAACGAAGATTTCTATTAAACAGGATAAAGCAGCATGGAGAAGCCATAACATGTCCTGATCAGCTGAAGCAGGTAACCTTGCCTCTTCCTATATCCGGAAATCTCTCATATTTCTTGAGAATTAACACCACCCAATTAACTTGCTATATTGCACAGATGGTGACTGATGACAGACCATGCTGCAGGCAGAAGACTTGCTCAGAGGAGCAAACAAACTGCCCTCGGGGGGCACCATGATAGCAAGTACTGAGCCTACAATGAAGACTTGTAGAGTGCTACCACAAAGAGTGGACCATTATTTCCTAGCTCTTTGGTTTGCATTGCTACTTCCATTTCTTGATCCAATAGTGATACAAAAAGGCAAAGAAAGGGGGCGGAGGGGAGGAGAGATTCAAAAAACCACATTCTGAAGGCATTCTTCCCTCAAAAAGAAATATCTTAGGTCCTCACAGATCCAGACAGGCTAAATCATGCAGTCTGCACTGATGGTGGCTGGAAATATGAGACTACTTAATATATGAAAAATTAAAATAAAAAAGAATCACATGTAACATTCTTCATATGAAAAGATTTTGCAAAAGCACTTAACATTCAAATTAAGTAATGAATTATATATACATGAACAAGTTGAGACTAGATGAGCTGAAAAAGTGATATAAACTAAATTCAAAGTCTGTGCACTGTAACTTCAAAAATATGCATGTTACTTCAAATACTACAAGTGAGAGTCATGAACAATAATACAAGTTCATTGTTTCATTTATGGGGGAAACAAAGCAGCAAATATTACTTTACCTTGCTGACGTGTTGATCATTGAAACTATACCACTGCTCATCATTAAAAGATTTTATGCAGGCATAGTAATGGCCACCAGCAGCACTTCCTGAATGGACCATTACAGAAAAGAGCTCATACAGTAAAGAATTCTAGGAAAGAGAAAAAAAAAATCCAAGTAAGGAACAGAGAACTTGTAATACCTCATTCTGACAAACTGCACCTGTGTTATTTAAAAAACGTTTCTCAATTGTGTATAGTTACATGAAAAATAACTATGAAGCAATTGTGCATAGAGCTCTCTACAAGTACTATTCTGCATTATTATTAGTAGAATTACAGTAGCACCCAGAAGCCCCAACCAAGATCAGAGCCCCATTGTGCTAGGCGCTGTAAAAAACGCATAGAAAGAGACAGTCCCCACCCTCAAAGAGCCACTATCTAAAAAACAGGTAAGACAAAGGAAGTATTATCTTCATTTTACTAATGTGGAAGAGAGGAACTGAAAGATGAGTGACTTGTCCAAGGTCACAGAGCCAGTCTGAGTCCCAGTCAACTGCCTTAAAACCACAGGACCACCCTTCCTTCTTATACAGATGCCAAATATGAATGCAGATATAAAATATTAAATGTTATCCCCACCTTACTTACAATATTCTCCTTATCCAAAGAAAACAAAGAAAGCCTGCTGTAGAGTATGAACCTGGCATTAAAAATTAATAAAAATAATTTTCAGACAAAAAACTATCGGATGTTAAGGATAGGAAAGTTTCACTAACTCAAAGAAATAAATAATAATACGCAGGGCCGGCTCTAGGATTTTTCCGCCCCAAGCAAAAACAATTTTGGCCGCCCCCCGGTTTTTTTCTTACCCCACCCCCAGCCCCGCCTCAACTCCGCCCCTTCCCCAAATCCCCAGCCCTGCCTCCTCCCCCCAGGCTCTCAAGCCTAGGAGGGAGGGAGGGAGGGGGAGAAGCGGCACACGCGCCGCGGCCGCTCAGAGTCTCCCCCTCCCTCCCAGGCTCTCAAGCCTGGGAGGGAGGGTGAGCAGCAGCGTGCGAATCAGCTATTTCGCGTGCCGCGGCGCGCAAGCGGCATCAGCGGAGGTGAGCTAGGGCGGCCGGGGCACATTTTTAGGGGTGGCAGGGGCGGCATTCTGGCGCCGGCCATGCCGCCCCTAAAAATGTGCCGCCCCAAGCACCAGCTTGTTTTGCTGGTGCCTAGAGCCGGCCCTGATAATACGGTACAGTTTAAAAAATGTGAATAGTGCCAACCCAGGAAGTTAAGCTCAAATTAAATTTATAAACTCCACAAACATCTGAACGTACAAACATTCACAGTTAAGTTGACTCAACAACTTTAACTGTGCAGGCGTATTTCACCTTAACTATGGAAGCAACTGCCATCTCTCTAATATTTAGCATAGACAAGGCACTTATCTTCAATATAATTTACAAACTTTAATTCTCATAATACATTTGTGAGGCATTACTGTTCAAAACAATTTTCTTATGTCAGGTAGTTAATATTCACATTTTACACATGGGGAAATTAGGCAAGTCACCGTACCTATTTGTTTCACAGTCACGAACTATGTCAGAGCCGGGATTAAAATATTGAGGATGAGACCATTACACTACCATTCTTCTCTGTACACTTTCAACCAATGTGTAATGAAGGCCAAAAAGTAGTTTCCTTTTTTTTTTTTTTTTTGTATCTTTAAAACGTAATTCTGTGGTCTAAAATTTGGACTGGGGCATGGGGGGAAAAGAGTGGGGACCTCTACAGAACCAGAAACAAAAGTATCTGATTTAACTTTGTCATTAGTCCGAAGGCTCAAGTGTCTGAAGTAGAAAGAATTTATGTAGCATTTTCCATTCAAGGCTTTTCTTTTCACGAACATGAATTTATTAATCCCCAACTTCCTGCTGAGGTAGGGTAAACCTCTCCATTTTACATATGGGAACACAGAGGCACAGAAAGATTAAATTACTTGGTCAAAATGCAGAGTCATTGTCAAATCTAGGATTAGGTTATGGGTATTCTGACTTTCACTCCCTGCTCTAATCAAGTGACTGTTAACAAGCTCCTATTTCTCAACAGAGATTTACAGGATTCCCAAGACTGAGCTTGAACACTAGAACTCCAATGTCTAATTTATTATAGGGCCAGAATGTAGATATTACACTATTAAAAACAAACACTCTTTAAAGGGTTTATAAAGATTCAGTTCCAACCAATCCACGGCTTCCTAATGGGTCTAGACAGATACAAGCTACAGGCCATCTAAATTCCCTCTAAGATGCACAGCCGTGCAGCAGGCTATAAAGGGCCGCGCAGGTGCACTGCCACAGGGACCTGGAGAGAGGAGGGGGTGGAGAGGGGAGCAAGTTGGGGCGTGCAGGGCTGTCACGGGCCTTGGCCCCAGCCCGAGGGCTACTGCCAAAGGGGAGAGGCGCTTCAGCCCCAGCCCCGCTGCCAGCCGAGAGAGGGCTGGGGAGGGCCCCTCTGGGCCCAGCCGCGGGGGGGCGGCCGGGGGGGGGGGGGGTGGGGGGGGGGGGGGGGGGAAAGAGGAGAGTCCTCTGGCAGCAGCCCTGGGGCAGACTGCACCCCAAACCCCTCATCCCCAGCTCCACTCCAGACTCTGCATGGCCAGCCAGAGCCCTCCCCCGCCCCCCGCCCCCCCCCGCACTCCAACCCTCTGCACCAGCCCTGAGACCCCTCCCATACTCCGAACCCCTCGGCCCCACCCCCCCCCACACATCACCTTCATAATGGTGCACATAACAAAATTCATTCCACACATTGATATAAAAAAATTAGAGGTAACATTACAAGCCATGTTTCAGATTAGTTCACTGAATAAGGTCAGGGAAGCCTATCCTACAAGTAAGTATTAGTAACAACTTTTCCAAAGATTTCAGAGAAGACTTGTACCAGTAAAAGGCAATTAAGTTTTCCATCTTAGAGTCCTTGGTAATCACTAAACAACAGAAAGGGGGCACTGCTATCACGGAATGAGTTGCCATTGTAAAATGTATTTTGTGATCACTAATTCAAGATATTCAATAGCATATTAAATGCTTCTAATACCTTCTTCTTTTCTACATGGTCATTTCTGCAGGCCAAGAAATGGATAGCTATTTTCAGAGATCTGTATTATTACTGTATTACTGTACATATTACTGTATTTTCCTCAAGCTTTTCAACTCTTAGCAACTCAAAAAAACAGGACAAATTTGTGAGCCTGATAAAAGAAAAAAATTAAGCAATCATACAGCAATAAAAATTTATTTAAGACAAAAAAGCTATCTTTTCCATTTTTTCTGTATGGTGAAATCTCTTGGACTACTCAGACAAGATAGAGATATCTAATACACCTCTACCCTGATATAACACGAATTCGGATACAATACGGTAAAGCAGCGCTCCGGGGGGGGGGGGGGGGGCTGCGCACTCCGGCGGATCAAACCAAGTTCGATATAAAGCGGTTTCACCTATAACGCGATAAGATTTTTTGGCTCCCAAGGACAGCGTTATATTGAGGTAGAGGTGTACTTGTGGGTCAGGGTTTCACCTACAAGAATGAAGGGGAGTTGAACTTTCATCTTCATTTGTCACCTTTCCCCGAGTAAGGTTTGCAACCTCATGGTGGTACTGTAGTACTTCTAGAAAAACAGATTGTAGTGGTGGCCCATAATGCTCTCTTTCAATTATGGCTGACCAAAAGACTGACTTTTCCTTTTAGATGTCAATGTCAGTCTGCGTCACCAAAGTCTGCGTCAACAACACACTGCCTACCATAATGTACCCATCATGGGATGGCCTTCAATAAATTCTAGCCCTAACCATCTCATATCTTGACTACTACAACTTGGCTTTGACAAATGCAATCTTGCCTCCCTCAAGTCTATTCAAAACTCTGCTGCTAAGATAATCATCTTGACTTGTTGCTATGACATGAACCCCTTCTTCACATCTCTCCTCTTTCACTACATGAAATACATGCTACTTGTCTTTATCTCTGCTCTGCCAGATACATCAGTCTTCCTTGTCCATTAGCTGAATTTTTCTCTCAAGCACATTCTTGCTTCAACCCTCACCCCCAAAATGGGTAGGAAGAGCTCATAAAAATATGTAAAGCCACAACATTACCCTCATTCAAACACCTCTTTAAATTCACCTCTGCTTGGATAACTACAAAAACATTACAGAACAGCTAGACTACTAGCTAATAAAGCAGCTAGACTATTAGCTAGTGTAGTGTAACTACCGGTCATTATACAAAAGTAATAATTTTACTTGTCTTGTTCTTCCCATTTCCCGTTGATCCAGCTGCTATCACATTCTAATACTGCGAGCTCTTTAGAATTTATTACATTTATGTAAAGTCCCTAGGCATAAAGGCTCCAATCTTTAATTGGATCATTTAGTGCTACCTTTATATTTTTAATAAAGTAACTGAAGCATCCTGCCTACTCCAGCGATGTAGTACCTAGACAGAGTGAGGTGGTTTGCTAGGAGCACATTAACACTTGTACTGGCTTATTAGTTGGTTCTGGGCACAATTCAAGATGCAAGTGACAAAACAGAAGGCCTATAACTAGGTCAAGTCCACCTAAGTCCAAGTTTCATACATACGTCACATGGCATGTGCGCAAAGTAGGTGTAGCTGCATGCAGATAAATGAGCAAACTTACACTCTGATTGTGCATCCTGGAAGGCACTCAATATCTCCCAGGAGGCATGGAAGCTCCTGATAAGATCAAGCCCTTAATGGCCTGACTCACCCGTCTTAGCTAGTTTCACACAAGATCTCCATTTTCTCAAATTCATGTCAGTGATTAAAGAAAGTGATAATAAAGCTATTAATTCACAGACATATTGACCCTCCACACTCTGTCTTGGTCGAACGTCCTAATGGATCACAAAACATTTCAAAAGAAGGCCAGCGTTTTCCACTATTATGTTTTTGATACCAGACAAAGGATCTCAGATTCCCTTCCAGACAAACTCAATATTAATGGTACTTCGCTAGATATAAGAGTCCATGTAGCGCCGCAAGATAGTGCTGTGAACAAGGGGCAAGCTTGGGGAAAACCAGTATTTTAGTAGCTCTTTGTCTTAATGATACTTTATTAAAACAAGCCTCCATGAGAAACATGCTTGCAGTCAGGTGAAAACTAGTCAGCCATTTTAGGCATTCACATATGTGGCGGTTTCCAAGCTCCTATATGCTACAGGTAGAAGACAGCCTCTTCATGAATTTATTCTCCCAGGATACAACAACATATTTTATGCTGAAATATATGAGAGAGAACAAAATAGCTATAATCATTTTATGCTCCAAAAGTCTGAAGGTGCTGACTTGCACAGAGTGGAACCTGCCACAGACCGAGCAAAACTCTCTAGCCCTTTCTGTTAAATTGCAAGATATTTGCATAGTGTCAAGGGATTTGACAGTCTACCTCATCATGGAAGTGCTGCCCAGAAATAATAACTATCTTCTATTTTGCTTTCTGCCAGAACAAAGCAGGAAATCCATAGGATCTGGCCAGGTGAGTATTCCCTCAGAATGGGGAAATTCCCCAAGCCTTTTGTATTCTTTGCAACACCGCAGGCTTAAATATTAGAACAAGAGCAAAGAAATATGACTTTTTTAAAAACCACCATTTATCTGGACAACATACTAAAGTTGTACCCATATGTTTTGGTTTTGAAGTACCTTTTCAATGCCAACTTTTGAAATCCTCTCAGCACCACTATTGCTTTCAAGGCAGATTCCTTCATCAACACCATCATCATTAGAAAAATCATTGCTCATCTGATCACTGTGACAGCTGCCTTCATTCTCTGCTCCACTATCAGTGCAACTCTCAGTTTGGGGAGACTTCTTAAAAATAAACCATAAATGTTAGTTTATAAAGTAGATAAAAATGATAGTACACATACATGTAACAAGAGACAATGAATTATCAAAATAAATACTGTGCAATTCTATACTGCCTTCCACCTGCAAATTTCAAAGCGTTTTACAAATAATCCTCTGTGAAACAGGGTACAGTATTATCTATATTTTGCATATGGTAAATCTGAGGAAGAGGTTAAGTTTTGAAGACTGAAACAAATGTAACATTTTATGAATCTTCTGACTGCTAACTAAGTTACACCTCTACCTCGATATAACGCGACCCGATATAACACGAATTCAGATATAATGCGATAAAGCAGTGCTCCGGGGGGGGGGGGGGGGCTGCTCACTCCGGCGGATCAAAACAAGTTCGATATAACGCGGTTTCACCTATAATGCGGTAAGATTTTTTGGCTCCCGAGGACAGCGTTATATAGAGGTAGAGGTGTATGTAGATGTAGGGTACCAACAACATTCCAATGGATTCCAGGAGAAAAGTCTCCCAAAATGTATTTGTCTTTTGATATTAAAATTAGCTAGATATCCCCGACACGTCTATTTTAGGATTATGTCCATGGAGCTACTTTTTCTTGAACAGAAGTCGTATAGATGCAGTATGAAGATTTTTGAGAGTTCTGTAATACTTAAAACAAAATTAAAAATACATAAATGGAAAGTTTGTCTTGCTTGTTTTTCCAGTGAAGCATGCCTACTAATCCTAAACCAGCTGACAGCAACAGTCTTTTGATCTCAAAGTCACTGTTCTCACAAAGCAATCCTTAAGCTTAGACACATTAGTTTTGCATTTCAAGATTCCAATATGCAACATTTTACCCTTTTTACTAGTGAAAATTAAGCCTGGGTGTCCTTCACAGTGGGTGCAATGAAACAGATTTCAATTCTGTCCTCTTTTAAAGTTAACTTTAAGCACTTTATATCCAGCTTACTCTGTAAAAATATGGTGAAGAAGTGAGAAGAGAACAGATATTCTGAGAAATATCTAAGATATATAGTACTCACATGCCCATGAAAGTGCCTCTGAAGAGGCCCTTTGCTGTACATTTCTCCCAGCCCAAAGGCCATGTATCAAAGCCACCATCTTTCTAGGTGAGGAGGAGGCGGCTTTCATGACCACCAAACCAAATTCTTACTGTTTAGAAATGCACCATTCACTTTCCAGAGAATGAATTATACTCAGTGTCAGTTCACTGTTCTCAGCTTCTAACAAGATGGAGGAAGAAATATACCAGCACTGGAAATTAAACCCAGGCACCTTACATAACAGTATAGAGCACTGTCAGAAGCCCCCTCTTGTAAATTAATTTTAACTCCAAACCTTCACAGAAAAAGAAATATGGGATGAGATTTTTGACACTAAGTGCCCAAAGTTGTTCCTAAATCCTGATTAAGGTATCTAAAAAAGGGGTCTGATTTTCAAAAGTGTTGAGCACTCAGTAATTTCAACTGAAGTCAAGGTGAACTGTTGGTATTCAGAACTTTTGAAAATCAGGAAACTTTTTCTGATGCCTTAATAAGAATTTAGGAACCCTAACAGGCATGTGTTTTCAAAATATTGGCCATGATGTTTTCCCTAATGCAGTGGTTTCCAACCTGTGGTTCGTGGACCCCTGGGCGTCCGCAGACTATGTCTAAGATTTCCAAAGGGGTCCGCGAACCACAGGTTGGAAACCACTGCCCTAGTGACACTAGATTTTAAGAGATGCTAGAGAAAGATTGTTCTCAGAAAGACTATACACTGGTCTTTACCTCATCTTCAACATCAATGAATGTGCTCATGTCTAGCTCTTCAGGAAAAGTCATGCGATCATTAAGTTTAATCCTGTGCATAGTGGTGTAATCAAAGTCAAACCTCTTCAACTGTAAAGTCAGCAGATATGGAAAATGCAGAAACCGCAAGCCCTAAACAAAAACACAATATCCAATGGGCAAAATTATGTTACATATATAGATAAACACTAACCAATGTAATGTTACCCAAATGGTATGTATTTACCTTCCTTGCATCACATTTCTTCTTGCAGCGTTCGCAGAAATATTGATTAGGGCCATCAAGGATCTCAGGCTGAATGAACGCATGCAACGCTTCTTCCTAATAAAAAAAGATGTTACCTGCTTTTTAAGAATGTTTACTTTTATGTACGTGATTTAGAACATTATATTTATGCTTAGATTGCAAATACAGAATACAATGGTTGCAATATGAAGTATTCACAAATTCAAAAGCAATTTGAATTACAGAAGTCTAGAAGAATGATACAAAAACCCCAAAGAAACAAAGATCAGGAAAACATCAAGTGAAGCCAACCTTTCTGCCCTGCCCCACGGTAAGCAGTCAAATCATGAACGACAATACATTACTATTAATTATATTTCATTCAGCCATTTGATGGGTCCATCATGTCCTGGTTTTGCACACAATCTAAAATGAAATATATCCCTGTTATCTTGCACATCACATGTAGTCACTTCTGTTCAATCAGTTGTTGCATAATTGATCTTATTCCTTACTTTGCTTTAGTTAGCCATCAGCCCCACGTCCTTATCCCACAATTTACAAATGGCTTTCTCCCTTCAGGGACAATACTTTCTCCCATCACATGTCACATTATTCCAAGCACAAACAGAAGAAAGAGAGCAATTATTTAGTTCCTCAATGTCTGTTTTGTAGGTGGCTGTCTCTCAATCTGCCAGGGGATGCTAATGCTGCTTTAGAATAAGTCAGTCATTTTTTCTCCCATCTAAAACAAATATTGAATCTCTACTCCCAGTGCAATGAGAAACACAATTGTCATCTTCCAGGGATACATTCTACTTATTAGCACAAACCACATGTGGTTGTAAACCAAAAATAGTCATGAGTCAGCTCCAATAGCTACAAGGGAAATGTTTCTAATCCTCCTTTAAATAAGAGTTATAGTGATTTCCATCTATCTTCTCAGTATAGCCGGGAAGTTAAAACATAATTAGCTAATAATTTTTCTTCTCTTTTCAACAAGTGTTATAGAGGGTATAAATTGTGCATACCAGTAACGAAATCTGTGAGGACAAAATCTGCTTTAAAAAAAAAAATCAATTAATTTTAAAGCAGTTCAATGAAGAATCTTATCCAGAGTTACTAATGGTTAAAACCTTTACCCAGTTAGCGTGAAAGCTGAGAGACTGGGTTTATGAACTACAGATGATACTCCGGAGTTATCTGCTCACCTGCAGATATCTCTGCAATCTAAAACAGAAATACCATTGGCATGCTGAGGTACTTACTTTAAAGAGAAGAGGATCAAATAAAAATCATAATGATGCTTTGAAAATCATTGTCTCATGATGGAACATAGTTGTTCCCTGAAGTCCGAATAAATAAGAGGGGGCTTAGTTGGGCAGAACAGACTCACCAATTGCAAAATGGCTGGTACAGAGCTTATAAGACTACTATCTAAATCATGTTGTTTGATGGATCCCATTTTGGGAAGAGGTCAAGGATATGGGAAGGTCTTCAAAAAGCCTCCAATTCATCCCTTCTCCCTCCATTTCTTTTCTGAGAACTCAGGGAAGCACTAAGAACAAATAACAAAACAAAAGGTTTTATAGCCCTGCTTTTTCCATATGAACAAAAGTTTTGTTATTATTGTAAGAGATGAGAGACTCTTTACAAAAGGACTGTTCTCCAGACCACAATGTCTCACCAATGAGAAATGTGCCAAATTTCACAGAGAGATTGCACAGAGAAAGTTAGTTATCACCATCCTTCACTATTTTTGTACGCAAATAGAAAAAGGAAAAAAATAAATCACTTCTTAACAACCCTAAAAGATAATCACAACTCTGAAGCAGGAAGGGTCTTTAAACATGTCAAAACTTTTTAGTGAGCCAAAAGTAAACTCTCTATATATTTACTTCCTAAATACTGCAGAGTACCTTTAATCTAAAGGCAAAATGTTAACAGATTGGGAGATTATTTACTAAATGCAGGAAGTTATATTAAAAATATAGCAGATAAAAATCAGTAGGTGGTAAATAAATTGTAAGTCTTCATTTAAAAAGGCATTGCTGTGTTTTGACAGTGGGGTTTTTGGACTGGCTAACAATTTAACAATTCAGAACAAATTAAATGAAAGCAAAACAAGTCAACAACCAGCATGTCGAATACCAAACTTAGAAGACAACAAAAACATGGCCTATAGAGGTACTGCTTATGGAATAAATGCAAGCCAGGAATCTTACCAAATCTCTCCATAAGCTACTACAAATCTTTCTCTGGTACTAATTATTTTATTCCAATAATTGCTGTTTGTTACATAGGAGCCAAGCAACAGTCTCTATAAAAATATATTCACAATATAAAAGAAAAATGTTGCAATTCATTCCTCAACAAACGAATGACATGTGAATGATGAACATAAGTGGTTATGTAAAGTTTACGTAGACTCGGTACGATGTGCAAGTCAACAAGGAACCATACTAGAATATATTTGTGTTATGGAGAAAACAGGTAATGCTCCTATGGACCTCCAAAAGTTGAATGAAATATCATGAGCAGTAATGTATTCTTGTTAATGATTTCATTGCTTACCACAGGAATAGATAGTGAGATGCACTTTGACCTATGGTTTACTGGAATTATTTTAAAACTTCACTATTATTATATATATCATGTTTCCAACTTGTATCATATATGTAAGCACTGTTGATGCACTGTATGTATAATATACTAAGTTTTCCATCTCTCCTCCAATTTTCCACTGCGTAGTCTTTATATCAAAGTTACCTTTGATGATTAGTATAAAATCTTCTCTACTCCAGTTATTATTGTATTGACCAGTCTCCTCTCTTATTCGGTTATAATTCACTAACTCAACAAAATTAACTATTGGTATAACGTTGTTTCTGTGTGGTTCACTGCGTGAGTGGCATCATAGGACCCCTACTTTCAGTAACTGTACTTTTAGAGCAAGACAATTTATCCACGAGGAAATATTATCTAACCTGGTAGCTATTACATTTTAAACATTAAAAAAATTGATACCACACACACCATAAGTTAATATATCAAGAAAACCAAAATATTTTAAAGTTTTCAAGTAGTCTATTTTATCCCAAGCTATCACTATTTGTTCTTTTATGGTGCTGAATATCATAGTACTTTACACATTAACATATTGTAATAAAAATATGTCCAATCTCATCATTGCCTGAGATAGAAAGGCACTTTGAAATAAGCTTCCATTTTTAACAAAATGTCATTATGGTATATCTACTACATCTGATAGCCACTGATTTGAGATTACTGTAAATATTTGTTTAGCTCTATGAATATGAGAAGTAGAATTTTTATAAACAGTTAAATGAGCTACAAATATAAATCTGAGGGGAAAGCCAGTCAGTGTATATAGGTATGATTTCATTAATCTAAAAATCAATAAAAAGTCCATGTGGCTAATTAATGTCCCAAATTACACAAGCAACTAAAAAAAACAAGAGTTTGCTAACCTAAAGATATAATGGAAAGCAAACTGGAAAGCTCAGAGGATGGGTAATGGGATACTTATCCTTTTATCAAGCCAGGTCAGTAATGGCAATGTCATTAAAACTGGATAGCTGTTTATGCTTATATAAAATGAGATGATGGGCTGAATACATCTTCTTTAGACAGATGCTGACATCACAAGATCCTTGTTTTCAGTCTCTAAAGAGGAGTCAAGATCCAAAAGCGCTCAACTCCTACAACTCCCACTAAAACCAAAGGATGCTCAATACCTCTCAAGACTAGGTCTGCTGGGAAAGCAGTATGGAGAATCTTTATCTAATGCCCTACTCCTAGTGTGCCACCTCTAGGGCTGAGACAATAGTTCAGCCTCAATACCAAATCTTCTTTTGCCTCCTCTATACCAGTGTTTCTCAACCTTTTTGTACTGGCAACCCCCTTTGGACTTAAAACAATTATGACACACCCCCCCACTACAAAAAATTCTGACCTCCTATCTTAAGCGGGAGGCTTCAAGGCTGAAACAGGTAAATTAGCTTTGCAGGGGACCCCTGTGGCGTGGGGCCCCAGGCAACTGCCCTGCTTCCTAGCCTTTAACGCCAGCCCTGCTAAACCCATCCTGCAACCCCCAGGTTGAGAACACAGTTCTATACTGTTCTATTGATAGCCAGATAATTTCACTGTCTAATGCTGTTGTCCATATAGCCATTTGCATGAACAGAAAATATACGTCTAAACTTGAATATTCTAATATAGGCGACTTTATGTTTTCCATTGTCTGTCTATAATTTTTTTCAGGATCTAAATCACAAGTCAGATAACCATCAGGCCTATATCGCAACACAACTAGTTACTGAGGTCTCAGATCTATGTAAATTCTTTATAAATTATATGTATATGCTTTTTCTAAAATTAAGCCCTTGAACAAAGCAAAGTTATTAAATTGATTTAGATGGCCTTGGAGTGTATGCTAGCAAAGCCCTAGTCCCCTGGACATGCATTAATAATGTAAAGCTATACTACATGAAATGAACCAAAGAAAGAAAAAAATAAATCAGAAAAGTCAATAAGGTTTCTTCAAACTGCAAACCTTAAGGACAATATCAAATTGAAGACAGAAAATTTAGAATAGTTTTAAGTTCTATTTTGATTAGAAAAAAAAAAAAAAAGGAAGTGTAATTATTCATAACTCTTGGAAGTTCTCCAATATTCTGTTTCACAAAAATTTCACACACAAAATTTCATATTTAAACTTTTTATGTAGTATACTATAGCAAACAGTGGCATAATAAACTTTATTTGACATACTATATAATAACCTTACTTATATCTTGTACATCTATTATCTCTCTTTCAAAAGTAATGGAAAATCACTTACCTCTAACTAGAGTTCTTTGAAGGTAGTATCCTCCTTAGATCCCCTATCTTGGGTAGTGTCGCCTGCTGCAAGTTCCCTCAGGAGCTGACTAGCAAGGTCTAAAAAGTTTTACATTCCCTTCCACAAGCCCTATTAGCGCATGTGTGAACCTTTTTGTATCTCTCTCTCTCATTGCCTTTTTACCTAAACCTACTGAACCATCATCATCTGTGGATCAATGGAGGATACTACCTTCAGAGAATTCCATTTAGAAACAGGCGATTTTTCCCTTCTCCAAAAGCCAGTATCCTCCATATCTCCCCACTGTTGAAGACTACAAAGCTAAAACAACATCTGCTACAGACAAGACAAATACAGGGAGGAGAATCAACTGCATAGTCAAAGTACGCATAATTATAAAATAGCTCAAATAAATGGAGCGTAAACACAAACTGCAACCATGTAACTACCTCAACACAAAAGCTTTAAACTAGTTTGTCTCATCGCCTAATTGATACTGATATTTAGCAAATGCTGTGAAATATCAACTGTAATTTAAACTAATCTGAATATTTATCATTAAGTACTTAAGTGTTGAAGCTTCCTGTATATTTGTTTTTATATATAAAGACACAAATATTTTAATTTTCCATAATATTCTGTAGCTGACTTCTTCCCTATCAAAGAAAATAATTCTAGAATATCATAGAATCATAAAATATCAGGGTTGGAAGGGACCTCAGGAGGTCATCTAGTCCAACCCCCTGCTCAAAGCAGGACCAATCCCCAACTAAATAATTTGAGACTTAAGGACGCCACTCAAAAGAAGAGTCAGTGATTAATGGAATTATTAAAAATTGTGTGTATATATATATATATATATATATATATATATATATATACACACATACACATACACATACATACACATACACACACACACACACACTGACTTAGACTTTATATATATATATTCTATTTAGAAAGTCTAAGTCAGTGTGTGTGTGTGTGTGTGTGTGTGTGTGTGTGTGTGTGTGTGTGTATATATATTCTATTTAGAAAGTCTATATATAAAGTCTCTATTCACTGTATCAATAAAAATGCAAAAAAAAGACAAAATTCCTCGTTTGTTGTATTATTGAAAATTTCCTGAAATACAGTTTAAAAAACAATGAAAGAGAAAGCTATTTAACACACCAATGTCTGCAACATCTTAAAACTGCAATTTCAAATGCACCTCCAGTTAGGTGTAAGAAGTTCCACAAAATTTGGAAAAATGTTGAGAGGCACTCAGAAAATTCTCTTTACTCCCATCCTATTTTTAAAGTTATATGATGAATGTCTCTAATCCTTGTTATTACCCTGAAGATTGGCATCCAAAGCTTTAAAATATTAAGTGCCTTTGTAACTGAAGCTACACTGATAGCGAACCTGGAGATAGCAGTTCTTTTGTTAAGAAATTGAAAGAATTATGTTAACGTTTTACAACAGTGCCAACTCATTAAATACAAGGGAGAACATTAACATTTAAAAATAAATGTAATAATAAAATAAATATAAAGCAATTTATAACCCTAATATTTGCATTGCTTTAAAATATTTAATATTTCTGGGATAAAAATTCTTTGACTTATCGCCCATTTTTAATAATTCCATCTAGTATTTATTTTTAAAACCACAACAGTGGTATGAAACAGTATGCAAATTACTTTTCTTGTGGAAAGCAGGTGATTAAAAGTTATTCCCTACATTTTATACTTTTGCCAATATCACTAATGCCAGTGCAAAAGTATTAATAAAGAAAATAGAGGCATAATGGAATTTTTATCATTAGAATTACAGAATGCTTGCCAAATGAATAAGGGACGTGTTATTTTTAAACTCTTAAGTTATAAAAACCAACACAGAGATTAAACTAGTAACCAAATTTCAGTAAGTAGCTGTCCTGTTCTTTCACTAAACCTTCCAACAGTGCTAACAAAAGCTAATAGAAGTGCTAATAAAAAAAACACCAGTCAATCAAAAGAACATCAGTGTTTTCACAAGAGATACCTAGGGGAAATACTGAAAATTCTATCAGAAAGAAAATAATAAATTATTGTAACCTCAAGGCAGAATATTTGCATTTCCCCTCCCCTTATACATGCACCAGTAGGACTCATTGAAGGGTTAAAAAAAAAAAATCTTCTAGAACTTGCTAGCTGGTTCACTGCACAAAGACGAACACCCCAAGATGGAGTATCTAGGATGATACTTACCATGTAAGAAATTATACCACTGTCGCATTATGTATTCTATGTGTGTATGGATGTACTAGCTGTCAGCATAAGAGTACACACCACGCTAGCAAATGCCTGGTTGGAGCCATAAGGTCTGATGACCAATGGAATATCCAGGTAAGTGTCAATTCTCCAGCCCTCATAGCCACATTCTAGACATCTTACATAGTCCTTCAGTTTGCCTTGATACAGTTGATTTATGAGATCAGCCTAAAACAAATGGAGAGATTTATTTTGGCATAGTTTGAAACAACATCTAAAAAAGGTTAAAACAAAGTATTCCTTTTCTTTAGTTTTACACTGACATCCCTTTTTCCCTTACACTTAATTGAAGAGGGAGAGATCATAGTTGTATATTTTTCACATGTTTAATATATATTTTATAATCACAAATGCATACTTCAGAGCACATGCTACTGGGCAATAAAATGTCCTGATGGTTCCTGTTTTCTACCTTATGTTTATTTTAGAGAACAATTTTATCACAGTAGTTCCTGCTTTCTACATATAAAGCAGTGCTCTAAAGTAAACATAATGTTGTTTCTTATTACTTAATCACAATTATATTATTTCAGTCCTCATCTGTGTTCAAAAAATGCTGGTGGCCGGTCAGGGGAAGGTACTACAAAGGAATCATCTGCAACTCCCCACTAATGATTACCCCAAAGGGGCGAGTACACCATCTGCATATCCATAGTATGCAGCAATGCTCTGGCCATGGCCATTCCTGTTTTATCTAGGGCAGGGAAAGGGAAGCTGCATAGAGCCATCTATGCTGGCTAAAGGGTACCTAGGAATTTCTTCCATAGTGGGGAAACCCTCAATTGGTCAGTTAAGCTGGCCTTCTGCAGTGCACATCAAAACTGAGGATCCAGCTCACTGTGACCAGGACTTAGACCTTTACACACACAACTTTAATTAAAAGAATAAAATCTGTAAACCAATCTCAAAAAATAAATCACACTCAAGCATGCAGTAAGTCAACCACTGCCTCAGACAAAAGACAGTGGCAGATTTTCAATCGTCTTGCAAAACAATTACCACATGACTACATTTAGAAGACAGAGTTAAACAACATTCCTCCAACATTCTTTCCCTGAAAGATGAAGTTTTATGGTATATTACCTGCTCTGTTTGCTTCCACTTCTGTTCCAAAGCATCAAACATGACTCTACAAAGCTCCTGTACATCATGCTGCTGCCATGCTGGTATAAAGTAAAATTAATCTCATTCAGTGAAAACAAGAAAAAAAAAATCATTCACACCCTTCTAATATTTTCTATAGCACAGTTATAGATTATATATATTGTTTAAAATAAATCATTTAGTTTTGAGGGTACTGTCAAAGTTCTATGCCCAAGATATGATTTACTGTAAAAACTTTCCCTGTAGGGCTTAAGTTATTCTAAAATCATAAAATGAAGAAAGTTAGAATACATCTTGTCTAAATGTACATGTATATATATTAGGACAAGTTTTGAGCATATGTTCATACAAGTATGAATATACATGTAAACAATATGGAGGTGCTTGTCTGCATAGTTACAGTTTAAGATAGGTTTATAATGGAAGACTAATTCTGACACACCTCACCCACACTTCCCCAAAACTAAAACAAATCCACCTAGGTTTTTCCCCAGAAAGTTTGAGGCAAGTAAAGTCTCATCTCATATCATGGCGGGACACGTGCAAAGTGCAGAAGATCATCAGGGCATAGGGCAGAATTACATTGTCCAAGTGACCAACTGTGCGTCCCCAAATTTAACGTGTTTGGAATTTTCTGTATTATTTTCTGTTTAAGTGTAACCTTTGCATTTCTAGGCTGATTTTTGTTTTCTGAGACAGCTACATTATCTTTTAAAAGGGGATTTCCTTTAAATAACCGATATTTACAACTTTAATTCCAATTTAAAGATTTTTTGCCAGAAACATATACTTAATTTCTAGCTGCGTGAAAAAAAAAAATAATAATAATTTGGGGGAAATCAATCTTAAAACTCTACATAAAAATGAAAAATGTGAAGCTTCTAAGCAAAACTGTAACATTATCTTTCCAATGATCTCAAATACTTATTTAAAAGTTTGAATTCACTCTGTGGACTCTGACCATAAAAATTCAAGAAATCTAAGATGAATTTTCATTCATTGGCCTCACACTACAAAACAAAAAGCAGTTTTAGAAATGAAGTGTCCATTTAAACTACTTTATTGGAACTTAGTTTTAGGTTCTTCTTTAAAACTGTATGAGCAGAGGTCTTTTTACACCACCAATATCAGTTTAGCGCCCTTATGAATGTCCTTTGAATGAGCACTAGCCACAAAACAACAACAGCTATTACAATTATTCTAAATTTTCCACATAATAAAATCCAACATCAAATATTACCCTCACTACTATCCCATCCAAAGCTCCGTGTAACATCTGTTGTTTCAATTGCTCTCTTTTTGCTGGTCTGCAATAAAACAAACAGTCTTTGAAGCTGGTAAGGGATGCTCATCACTGCCTCTTCTTCAGATTCTTCAAATTCCCATCTATTAACAAATAAAATATTTGAGTAATACTTCTAACGCAATTCATTTCACAAAATAGCATTTAAGTTAGGAGAAATTATCTTGTCCTTAAATGTCTACTAAATTGTAGGAGTTAACTGATGCTCTGTTTGCTTAATGAAAATCAAATTTTTCTCCAGGTTTCATAAACCACTCTCAGCAACTGTACCAAAATAAAATATGTCAATCATTTCAGAATCTCTGATTTAACTGCTGCTATTATGGACACAAGCAACACTTTCAAGAACAAATCATGCAAAAACCACCTAATTTCCTCCTTTGACAGGGTTACTGGCCTAGTAGATAGGGGGAAGTAGTAGATATGATTGATCTTCATTTTAGTAAAGTTTTTGACAGTCCCACATGACCTTCTTGAAAGCAAACCAGGAAAATGTGGTCTAAAGGAAATTATAAAGTAGGTGCACAATTGACTGAAAAAACATACTCAAGGAGTAGTTATGAATGGTTTGCTGTCAGACTAGGAGGATATATCTAGTGGGTCCTAACGGTCCATAACTATTCACTTGGACATTAGAGTGATGAGTATGCTTATAAAATCTGCAGATAACACCAAGTTGGGAGGTGTTGCAAGCATGCTGGAGGACATGATTAGAATTCAAAATGACCTTGATTAATTGGAGAACTGACCTAAAATCTACACGATAAAATTCATTAAAGACAAGTGCAAGACACTCAGGAAAGAAAAAGCAAATGCACAAATACAAAATGGGGAATAGCTGGTTGGGCAGCAGTAGCGCAGAAAAGGATATGTTAAGAGCTGTAATAAAGAGGATGTAGATTGTTTGTTCTCAGTGTCGACTGAAGGTAGGACAGCAAGTTATAGGCCTAATTTGCAGCAAGAAAGATTTATGTTAGATACTAGACAGATTTTCCAACTATAAGGATAGTTAAGTACTTAAACAGGTTACTAAAGGAGGTTGTGAAATCAATGTCTGTGGAAGGTTTTAAGAACAAGTTAGACAAACACCATCAGGGATGGTCTAGGTCAGGGGTCGGCAACCTTTCAGAAATGGTGTGCCGAGTCTTCATTTATTCACTCTGATTTAAGGTTTTGCGTGCCAGTAATACATTTTAACGTTTTTAGAAGATCTTTCTATAAGTCTATAATATATAACTAAACTATTGTTGTATGCAAAGTAAATAAGGTTTTTAAAATGTTTAAGAAGCTTCATTTAAAATTAAATTAAAATGCAGAGCCCCCCGGACCGGTGGCCAGGACCCGGGCAGTGAGAGTGCCACTGAAAATCAGCTTGCGTGCCACCTTTGGCACGTGTGCCATAGGTTGCCTATCCCTGGTCTAGGTATACTTAGTCCTGCCTCAGCACAGGGGGATGGATTGATGACCTCAAGAGATTTGGGGGAGAAAGGGGAGTTGGAGAGTGGAATGGACCTTGATGACTTTCCAGCCCCACATTTCTATGATTCTGTGTTCTTTGGATGTGTCAACTTTGTTGGCAATCTTTGCCACACAGTTTGTAAGCAATGCACTTGGGTATTCATAGGTCAAAAGCTATAGTTCTATCTTAGTTTAAACTTGCAAAGCACATCAGATATAGCATATACTCGAACTATAATGTGCATATCTCTGCTTTACAACAACTTTTGCACATTTGCTTAATAATCTGTCCTCTGTGACAACACTATCATGATTGCTTTTTAATACTAAACTAAATATGGCTGCAAAACAGTTACTTTTGATCTGAAATGCTCAAGGGCCATGCACTAGTCCATCTTTTACATATTTATTCTTTTTAAACAACATACAAGTGTTTCAGTTTTTGAAACTGTCAAGCCAAATGAAGTGTGGATTTAACATTTATGGTACTCAGGCCATTTTTTAAAAAGCCTGTATTATGAATGTAATGATTGTACATTTATAAATTCTTTTAAAAAGATCTTAACATTCCCTATTAGACAGTTGGATGTTATCAAATATTGGTAATTTAAATGTTTTAAATAGATTTCAATATAAATGAAGATAGATATACAGGATTAGAAGAAAGCTAAAAAACCCATTTTGCAAAGAGCAGATGAATGACAACTTTATCATCTCAATTCTATGTACTTTTATGCTTAGGACTCATCTACCCTACAGGAAAAACTAGACATTAGACTTAAGCATGCCTGATTTGGATATAGGTGTACTAAACCTTTAGACAAGACCTACTATTGTTATCTAACAGGTTTTTCCATCTACATTTGGGGAAATTGTATTGTACCATTGATGTCCATTAACCACAGCAGAGAACCATCCTAGCCCACGGCTCACCTTGTGGTACATAATATGCCAGGGGAGATCAAACAATCCCATACAAAGAAACCATTCATTCACTTTAATGGGAAAAAGCATGATCATAAAACACATTTTACTGTGTCACAGATGGATGCTTACATCAAAATTACCCACCACAAAGAAACATCTTAAGTGTCATTTAATGGCAAAAATGTTTAAGCATTATCTATATAGGATCTTATACTGCAGTCATCATCATGGTATCCAAACACTTTACAAATTAATTAAAGTGACACAAGAAGATCCCTGTGTTGCTCTCATTTCCTCAGAATTTTAAAATGACTTTAGGGCTTCTTGGGTTTGACTGGGGTATTCTTAAATGTGATTTTGCTCAAGTTATTGGAGGGAAGCTGAAGACTTTCTATTTTATTTTGACTTGAAGATGTAGAGGTTCTTGGTCACTCTGATTTCTTCTTGAGCCACATTCCACAGTTATAGGCCAGTTGCGAAGAAAGCTTCCTCCTGGGCACAAAAGTCACTACTTAAAAGAGCAAGGGGTTTTATTTGGAAATAAGGTGATTGTAGATGTAACTTAACAAAATGTGTTGTTGGCTTTACGTGCCTGGGGAGATTACAACAAGTGTGAACAGAGAACAGCTGTAGGTTCCGTTCATGGTTAAAACTCTAGGTAGCCGGGTAACTGAACCTGATCTAGAATATAAAAAGGAAAAGGAGAGAAGAAATTTGTTCTTGAGGCAAGTTCCTTCCTTACGTCTACCCACCTTGGAAACAACTGCACTCCCTGCACACCCAAAACTGCCACTGCAGTTTAGATGCATTTGCATTTCCAAACAGGAGAGGTAACATGAAAGAAATTCACATGCCATGCCTGCATATCTGTGGCAGGTTAGAAGTCTATTACATTAGTTTTCTAAGATGTCAATATTAATGATACAATCTTGTTTATATAAAACAAATACTTACTTGTATAATGCATTTCTAAATTCAGGAGTCATGAAAAGTGTTTGCAATAGGCTGTTCAAATAGCAAGTCATTGCTTGATTTACTAATCCCACATAGCCTAAAAAATATACAAATAAGAGTTTGAGTTGGAAACACAAAGTAGTTTCCACACCTGACAGAAGAAAACTAATATGTAACTCACAAGAAAGAATGGATTATAGAAGCAACATTAACACCACCACATGCAGGTATGTAATTAAAACAACACATTTTTCACTATAAAAAAGTGAAGACATTACATGAATTGATGTGCTAATTATTGCTCAAACTGGGACAGCATTAAAGATGTACAGTTTAAAAAGTCATTTGGCATTCAACTTCTCAAAATTTCCTTGAACCACATGAGTATATTTTAATGATATGGTAAAAGATAATTCATTAATATTAAACTAAATGTTCAAAGTTTACTAGGTACTACTAACATGGGCACAAGTGAAGCTAAAACCTAATTTATTTTTTTTTAATGATTTACATCAAGAAGGTAATTTACACTTGAGACTAAAAAAAAAATCCACAGTTTGGTGTAATTAAAAGCAAAATAGCAACTTTAACTGTTGTAATCACTCCCTAAGCCATCATCTGTAAAGCACTTTGTGCTGATTAATAACAAATCAATAGCCTTTATTGTCTCTCTCAAGATGTTAAAAAGTTACTCGCCCCCTCCTGCCCCCCCACCATAAAAATAGCTACAAACTACTACTACATTCAGTAACAAGTTTAATTAGTTTAAAGGGAGATGGGGAGTGAAGCTATCTGAAGTGGCATTAAGGCCAGTTCTCTCCAAACCATGTAGCATATATGGGACAAAGTAAAAATTCAATATATTGTTGCATACAGTGACACAGAAATGAATTTGGACATTTGCTTTTATGACATTTAATTCTGTATTCTGCAGCTTTAAGTGAAAAGGAATACTTGGGTACAGTTCCCTTTTCATAATACAAAAGGCAGCCACCCTTTGCAATGAACAGGAGTTTTTGTGAAAAAGAGTTCAAAATTGGGATATATGCATTATATTGTATTTGTTCTCTTACTGTAGATTATTTATCTCCCACAACTGTATTTGGATAAAAACATTTGACAACAGTTAACAAAATTTCTTGCCCCCAAAAAAAAAAAAAAAAAAAAAAAAAAAAACCAAAACCCTGGACCAGCAGGACTGCCATAACGTGAATGTTTACATCCTATCAGTGTTGCGGTATTCAACACCAGAGGTCAATAATAGTCCTAAATTCCAACTACTAAGATCTTCTTTTCTCATGTTTACTGCAGCCATATCATACCACTAATCTCAGTGAAGTCACAAGTCAAGAAAAGTTTCAAATATAGCCTATAAAAGGACAACATATGATTACCACTTGCATTTATGGCATGATTTACACTACCAGCTGAACATACAAATGCATGAAAAAGAGGGAACAGATGTACTGTAATCCCACAAACAGTACTGTTAAAACCAAATTATAAATTGGGGTCTAGGGAAGGTGGAGTGTTGGGAATAACAAGAAATTCAACAGCAGTTGTGGATTAAAACTTTAAAAGCACACTGGCACCAAGCAATTCCCTCCCCAACCACCCACCAAAAAAACCCTGCTTTTGAAGGAACATTTCTTCACACACATTGCAATCGTATTATAGACCAAGAAGGGGATACTTTTCTCCCTTTCCCAAAGACAGATCTGGTAAGAACTATCAACAGTAGATAAAAAAATATTCTAACATTTTAGTGGATTTAAAATAAGTGGCTCTTTCCTCTTCAAAATAAATTAAGATCCTGCTTACTTAAGAAGAATTTTAATATTATTTTAAAATAATTAACACTTAGTGTTGCTTTATTAAACAGGTTAAAACAAAGTGTTACAAAATACCATACCTGTCTCTGATTTACTCAGGATAGAAGAGTATGAGTAGTTTTGACAGACATAATCATTGGTACAACCAACAGAGCCTTCTCTTGGTAGAGGGCCTATAAACCTCTCTTGATTACCATCATCTGTTGTACCCGATTCCTCCTAAAATATGAATACATTGATTTTTACGTAAAAATCAATTTACTTAACCCAACTAACTTTTACAAAAGAAGAAGTTAAAACTCAACCAATCTCTCTCTCACACAAAAGAACCCATGTTAAAAGATTAGGTTGTAAAGTCAAACACTCAAAGTTTATGAAATGCCTGATTTACAGTTGCCCTTCTAACCTTATTTCTGCCCCCTTGTGAGTCTATCCTGTGCACTTACTGAAGCAAGTGTCCTGTGGAAACAACAGTATATGACTCTGCAGTAAAATATTATTGTAATGCAAACACATATGAGGGGGGGGGAAAATTAAGGTTGCACAGGCAATCATAAATCAGGCATTTCCTAACATTCAAGTGTTTGATTTTGCCAACTAAAGTAGTTTTGCAAACAAAAAGTGTTACTACATTTTTGTATGCAATTGCCAGGGTTAGATATGTGGATTTTGTTATTTTGGGTTTTTTTAGGAAAGAACTAAAACAAATTCTATTATGCACAACTGTAACAATCCCCTTATTATACATCATCAATAAGGTTTGAACCCTGAACCTGTAGTACCGCAGCAAACAATTCTACCATGGGAGCTTTGAGACTGGCTCCTATTCCATGTGTGGAGCCCCCAGAGTAAAGTTTTTTTATTCTAACATACTGCCAGAAATTTTCCTGATGAACACAAATGACAGTAGGGAAATAGTTATTTTTAACAGTTTGTCTCAACAAAAACAAAACAAAATTTTATGTGAAACAAGTCCCTAGCCAGAGGTCTTTCCCCTTGCTGAATTTCAAAAGCTAGTTGGAAACAGAAACATCAGAGCTTCTGAAAAAAGAAGTCTGCAAGAATCTTCTACAGTAAACAGCGTCGGGCAACTTAAATATAGGTGTTTGCTACCAGTTCTCCCTATTCAGAGATCCCCGTCATAACCTAGGCTCAAGGTTGAATAAGGATGACAATTCCAGTAAGAGCTCTTAACTGCCTGTATGGCGATGATTTAAGTCACATTTCATTTCTGTGGTTTAACTGTTAAGAAACTCAAAATCACTGGAAGTTATTATATGTAGCTGTTGGTAACCCTTTAGTTTAATAAGTCTTCATACAATTTTTATTCCTGTTTTTTAAATGCACCAATCCAATGTTTTGGGCACATGTACACTTAAAACACAAAAACAATTTTTAAGAGCCAGCAGCAATTTGTTGGACACTCCGCCATCCCATTTTCCTCCAAAGCAAAAACTGTCCAGTCTGGATTCAAATTCTGACTTTGGTCACAAAAAAGGGAGTTTGAAAATATGTTCAGGATAAGACCCTCATACTGTAAAACCAATCTGGCACAAAAGACAATCTGATCAAGAAAGCCTCAGCAGGTCAGGATAAGGAAACGCTGACAGAGCGTCATACTAAATCTTTTATGTAGCTAGCCTACCCAATGCCTGGCTCACATAAACCATTGCTATTTTCACTTCCTTGGATTCTAAAATTCACTCAGCAGGAACTTTCAAACATTTTTGTGGCAGTCCACAATATATTGTAACAACCTTTATTGTGTTTAATCTGTTTTTTACAAAATAAATAAAAATACAAGCCTAGAAAACTGAAGCTGTAGCTACATCTTTGCTGCTAAAGATCCTATGTAGTATGCAGAATTATCTTACACTCGGCTGGGATACTATTAAGTCCATACTGTTAAAACCTGTTTATATAATCAAAGTTTAGCTGATTATATAATATTGAACATAATTTGGCAAGTATTATCAAGCAGTAACAGAAAATAACATACTATTTTTTATCACTGGTATTTTTACTTCAGGGACACAAACAGGTAATACATGTAATTGAGATGCACTGACAGTTTTTTTGAGAGACAGTATGACAAATAGGGCTAGAAAAAGAACAATAATGTAATCTTGTCACAAGAATAAGGCATAGACACATTTTCTCTCTGGTAAAGCTTGAAAGGAATATAAATGTGGTGAATATATCAATTTTGGCTTACCGACATTAAATGAGGCTGTTCACCATCTTTATCTGTCAAATGTAGAAAATTTTTCTTCCCTACCTCAAAACCAGCATCAAGAATAGATTTATCACTGGTTTGATCCAAAGGAGTCTGTAAGAATAAAACATCAGACACATTTATATGTAATCAAAGATTTTCTGAACCAGTTCAGTAAGTTTTCTTCTAAATATATTGCTTCAAATAACTTATACTACAGTGAAAAAGAAAATAGCCTTGCCATCTACGAAATAAGCAGCGTTTAGTGTAAACTTAGGCGTTCAGAAAGAACTACCCCCAAGAGAAACCAGTGAATAAATCATTTATTAAATATTTTGATTAAGATTTATTTGCAAATTGGTCAGTTTATTCAGGAGCTGAACCACTAGTCACAGAATCATAGAATATCAGGGTTGGAAGGGACCTCAGGAGGTCATCTAGTCCAACCCCCTGCTCAAAAGCAGGACCAATCCCCAGACAGATTTTTGCCCCAGATCCCTAAATGGCCCCCTCAAGGATTAAACTCACAACCCTGGGTTTAGCAGGCCAATGCTCAAACCACTGAGCTATCCCGCCCCCCCTTAATTTTTTGTTTGTTTTTCAAACCACTGAGCTATCCCTTCCCCGAGCTACCCCTTGATTTAGTTGTTGATGTTTCTTTTATTAAAAAAAAAAAAACATATGGAGAATGAGTGCCAGTGTGGGATTTATATGAATGATCATATTAAGAACTTGTCAATTAGTTGTTCACTAATTGTTCCTTCTAGAATACACCTGACAGTACAAAATAGTCTAAACTAAAACAACAAAAACAAAAAGAAATTCAGATTTAAGTCTAGTAACATCATTAACTTGCTTGGTTGTGTTTGATTACAAATTTTCCCAGGTCTTAGGTCACTATAGGAACTAGATGCAAGGGGAAGATTTGAAAACATTGTACAATACTGAAAACATTATGCAAGTACTGTTCTACAAAAACTTTTACAAAGGTTCATTTTATCACCTAATTTTTTTCCTTAAATAAATAAATAAATAAATAAATTTTTGCCATTACCATATCCGCCACATTGATTCCATTTCCCCAAACTAAATCAAAAGTTCCATTAACATAGCCCACTTTGGAGGCCACATCCTCAAACAGCCTTCTCAATGGAGTGGATGCTGGCAGATTTAAAGTGATACGTTCATTCACAGTCTTAGAATTGGTAGTATCTTGTATTATACACAGCACTCTGGGTTCATCAGCAGCACTTTCTATCTGAAATCAGAGCAGATAACTTATTCATTAGATTAAAAGGAGAGTTTTTTAAAAAAACAATTCCTATATCTGTAAAGTAACAACACTCCAACTACAACAAATACATTTTGCAAATTTAAATCTAAAATTTTTATTTTAGAAGCATGGAAAGTATAAAGTCAATGTTAAATGTCATGGCACGTGCTAGCTAAGGTTCTTCTGTAATTTCAATTCTCATGCTAGCTAAATTATGGTAGAGATTTTATGTGCTAGAAACTCCTAAAGATATCCTAACTAGTCTTTTCACAGTTTGTTGCATGTATGTTTTTACATATTTTAGACATCAGTCATCAGAAACACAAACAAAAATCAGAGTTCTAAAGTACTAGAAATTAGGTATGTTTAAGAAGAAAAATTACTGAACTTTACAATTAGAAAGCAAACAATAAAAGCAAGGATACTGGATCAAGTGTACTTTCTTCATTTAATCGGTATAGTTTAGGTTTAGCCTTACTAACATCACAGCATTTTAATTTTACATAGTATGTTTTGTAAAAATAACAAAGGAATATGAGAACTCAACAGTTCTACTAATTTACATACATTTTTTCAATAAAAGGTTTATCAGATGTATTCAGTAGCAAAACGAAAGTTAGCAAGGTTTTAGTTCAGGTCTATCTGTCCCTGCATAATTAAGTTCTGCAATTTACAAAACACATTCTGACATTTTTTTTATTATTAAAATGAAATAAGAGAAAAATTGGGACTCTCATCATAGACAAACTTGTATCTGCAACTGTCTTGCTCTTTCATTTTTAAATATAATATACACACACACACACACACACAATGGTTTAGTAGTAAATGATCCACATAATTGGCTTCACAATTCTGCTTTATTTCTTTCTTATAGTACTAAACTTGCTTTAGGGAAATCTATATAGCAGAAATCCTGTTAACAGAGAATGAAAACTTTTTGTTTGTTTGCTTGTTTTTGGGAAGTTAGAGGGTAGAGAAATAATTGCCTAAGAGAGCCATCAGAAGTTCTAGCCATGTGACAAGAGGCTCACCACCTTATTGGTTCTTAAGACAGTAAAACAGAAGATCTGCAACCTACAACAATCTTGAAGGTTCAGAAGTTTTAAAGCCAGCTCTCAAGAGAATCAATCTTTTGCAAAACTCACTGTAAAATGAGTTCGGACAGGCATTATTTGCTGAATGACTTGGAATGAATCATAGAATATCAGGGTTGGAAGGGACCTCAGGAGGTCATCTAGTCCAACCCCCTGTTCAAAGCACGACCAATCCCCAACTAAATCGTCCCAGCCAGGGCTTTGTCAAGCCTGACCTTAAAAACCTCTAAGGAAGGAGATTCCACCACCTCCCTAGGTAACCCATTCCAGTGCTTCACCACCCACCTATTGAATTTTTTTCCCCCTAATATCCAACCTAAACCTCCCGCACTGCAACTTGAGACCATTACTCCTTGTTCTGTCATCTGCCACCATTGAGAACAACCTAGATCCATCCTCTTTGGAACCCCCTTTCAGGTAATTGAAAGCAGCTATCAAATCCCCCCTCATTCTTCTCTTTTGCAGACTAAATAATCCCAGTACCCTCAGCCTCTCCTCATAAGTCATGTGCTCTAGCCCCCTAATCATTTTTGTTGCACTCTCGCCAATTTTTCCAAATCCTTCTTGTAGTGTGGAGCTCAAAACTGGACACAGTACTCCAGATGTGGCCTCACCAATGTCGAATAGAGGGGAATGATCACGTCCCTTGATCTGCTAGCAATGCCCCTACTTATACAGCCCAGAATGCCGTTAGCCTTCTTGGCAACAAGGGGACACTGTTGATTTGTATCCAGCTTCCCGTCCACTGTAACCTTTAGGTCCTTTTCTGCAGAACTGCTTCCTAGCCACTCGATCCCTAGTCTGTAGCAGCGCATTGGATTCTTCCGTCCTAAGTGCAGGACTCTGCACTTGTCCTTGTAGAACCTCATATTTCTTTTGACCAATCCTCTAATTTGTCTAGGTCCCTCTGTATCCTATCCCTACCCTCCAGCATATTTACCACTCCTCCCAGTTTAGTGTCATCTGCAACCTTGCTGAGGGTACAATCCACGCCATCCTCCAGATCATTAATGAAGATATTGAACAAAACTGGTCCCAGGACCGACCATTGGGGCACTCCGCTTGATACCGGCTGCCAACTAGACATGGAGCCATTGATCACTACCCGTTGAGCCCGACGATCTAGCCAGCTTTCTATCCACCTTATTGTCCATTCATCCAGCCCATACTACTTTAACTTGCTGGCAAGAATAATGTGGGAGACCATATCAAAAGCTTTGCTAAAGTCAAGGAATAACACATCCACTGCTTTCCCCTCATCCACAGAGCCAGTTATCTCATTATAGAAGGCAATTAGGTTAGTCAGGCACAACTTGCCCTTGGTGAATCCATGCTGACTGTTCCTGATCACTTTCCTCTCCTCAAAGTGCTTCAAAATTGATTCCTTGAGGACCTGCTCCATGATTTTTCCAGGGACTGAGGTGAGGCTGACTGGCCTGTAGTTCCCCGGATCCTCCTTCTTCCCTTTTTTAGAGATGGGCACTACATTAGCCTTTTTCCAGTCATCCGGGACCTCCCCCGATCACCATGAGTTTTCAAAGATAATGGCCAATGGCTCTGCAATCACAACCGCCAACTCCTTTAGCACCCTCAGATGCAGTGCATCCGGCCCCATTGACTTGCGCTTGTCCAGCTTTTCTAAATAGTCCTGAACCACTTTTCTCCACAGAGAGTTGGTCACCTCCTCCCCATACTGTGCTGCCCAGTGCAGTAGTCTAGGAGCTGACCTTGTTCGTGAAGACAGAGGCAAAAAAAAGCATTGAGTACATTAGCTTTTTCCACATCCTCTGTCACTAGGTTGCCTCCCTCATTCAGTAAGGGGCCCACACTTTCCTTGACTTTCTTCTTGTTGCTAACATACCTGTAGAAACCCTTCTTGTTACTCTTAACATCCCTTGCTAGCTGCAACTCCAAGTGTGATTTGGCCTTCCTGATTTCACTCCTGCATGCCTGAGCAATATTTTTATACTCCTCCTTGGTCATTTGTCCAAGCTTCCACTTCTTATAAGCTTCTTTTGTGTGTTTAAGATCAGCAGGGATTTCACTGTTAAGCCAAGCTGGTCGCCTGCCATATTTACTATTCTTTCTACACATCAGGGTGGTTTGTTCCTACAACCTCAATAAAGATTCTTTAAAATAAAGCCAGCTTTCCTGGACTCCTTTCCCCCTCATGTTATTCTCCCAGGGGATCCTGCCTATTAGTTCCCTGAGGGAGTCAAAGTCTGCTTTTCTGAAGTCCAGGGTCCATATTCTGCTGCTCTCCTTTCTTCCTGGTGTCAAGATCCTGAACTCGACCATCTCATGGTCACTGCCTCCCAGGTTCCCATCCACTTTTGCTTCCCCTACTAATTCTTTGTGAGCAGCAGGTCAAGAAGAGCTCTGTCCCTAGTTGGTTCCTCCAGCACTTGCACCAGAAAATTGTCCCTACACTTTCCAAAAACTTCCTGGATTGTCTGTGCACTGCTGTATTGCTCTCCCAGCAGATATCAGGGTGATTGAAGTCCCCCAAGAGAACCAGGGCCTGTGATCTAGTAACTTCTGTTTGTTGCCTGAGTAAATCATCTTGGCTAAAAAAGCTACTAGTACATATTGCTCTAAGCACCATTTTATCTCTGATAAAACAGGAGAAAAAACAAACTATCTTGAACTAGAGAAGAGCAAGAAAAGTAAATGGAGAAGGGGGTCACAAAGGCCCCAAAGTACAAAGGAAAGGACATTTTCCAATGTTGTGTTTCAATAACAGTTACTGCATAAGAAGTGGAAAGCCAAAGATTCACTGAAACACACTAAAATTAACCCCCTCAAAAATTATTTCTAGGTTTTGGACTTCCAGAGTACTAAGGAACAAATCATATTTAAAATACAGACTATACTAGAGTCAGGGGAGTGTAGAGAGGATAAGAATCTCCAAAGTAACCAGTCTTCTGAATTTGTAAAGTGGAAAGCACAAGATCTTGCCTCTTGCAAATTCATGCCAAGAAGCCCAGATGTCTGCCCACTACAGAACAAGCACATCGGTCTCAAAGGCAAACAGGTTCATGCTGCAGTATTGCCAGTCTTTGGTGGATGAAGACTTGCAGGTAAACAAGAATCATACTCAGGCTGAAATTGTAACCTAGGACTTAAAATCATCTCCTAGAAAACGGTCCTTTCCTGCCAGATGGAGAGCTACAGGCAAGACCTGATAGATAATTCTATTTCCACACAAACGGCATTGTAATACATGAAAGTGAGAGACACGCAAGCAACTGAAGTAGTATATCACAGTTGTACTCTCTGTAAAGAGGGTCTATACCACTGAGCCTTATATGAAGGATGGAGGCTTGTAGCAACAGCCAGAGTGCCTGAAAACACACAATGCCAATATGGATACTGGAGATCTTAAATGCTGAAGTGATTTTTGTAGCCTTCTCCAAATAAATGTTTGAGGCATCTATCTAAATTATCTAAATCATCTAAATAAAGCAATATGAGAGAAAGTGAAAAGAGTAAGCAATACTTCTACATTAAGTGGGCTCACTTTCCATTGTGAATTTTCTCAGATTAGAAATCAAGCTTCCCATAGTCTGTAGGCATGCTGGATGCATTCTTCAATGCAGAATACTTCACAGGAAAACATGCTCTTCACAGGTAGAAGGTATATTTTCCAGCAAATCTGCAATCATTTCATCCTTTCTGGAGAAAGCCAGTCTTATGGACTGAACTCTCCGAGGAGGAGAAAGCAGACTGCAACTGTGCTGGAATGTAAACTACACACAACAGAAAGAGTAAAGGAGTTCAACAGAATACCAGTTTTTCACAGATTGTGGGAGATAAAGCAATATCAGGAGAACAGCACATAGAATAGAATTGCTATTCTGGAGAACAATCCTGCTCCAACTGATTTATGCTACTCTGAGATACAGCTCTCTTCACTTCATCCACTGCATCAGCTGGTCCACATTCATCTAACTGGTAGGCTCAGTGTGGTTTGATGCAGAAGAGATCACGTGGCTTCATTTGCCTAGCTGTAATCCCTAAGGGATAGTGACAGGCTACCATGTACCATGGAGCACCATGGGACCAAACTGTATAGCAGCACTGATTTATTCTAATCCCATGAAAAAAACCCCTCACCGTCCATTCCTCCTCCTCCCCCCAAGGTTCATAGTTGAAAACAATGACTTCAGATTTAATGATTTTCAGTCATGATTGTTTTTAGGATGGGTTTTATCCACTATGTTCTCTAAGCACTCAGCACCACACTCTGAGCCTTGACTGCCACAATGTCCAAGCGGCCAGTTACAGAACTTTCTCTCACTGTGCGCCAGGGAAGAGAGCAGGCTTGCAGCCTGCTTCAGTGGCTCATCTCCCTGACTTCCTTGGCCTTAGCTGATGTTCTACAAGCAGCCCGGCTTACATTTATGAGTTCTAACTTCATGGAATAGGACAGGGAGCATACAGTGTAATCCAATTAACTCCCGCTTGTAGGAAAAGCTGAAGATCCAGCTGGTGGTATTAACAGTGTTAAATAGCTAGAAAAATGTAGGCTAACAGACTGAGCTTCAATAATTTCTGTGCTAGCGTCTTTGGATGTGTTGCAACACATGGTTAAACGTGATCACCAATCACAGGCAGAGTGTCAGGAGTAGAGCTACTAATTCCACTTTACAGTTCACCAGCTGAGAGTCTTCTTGTCGCTCCCATCTGTGCCCCCCCCACAATAACCCACAGGACAGTCTCTTGGCCATTCTCCAACCCACAACTTCCCCCTTTCCGCACTATCTATCTCTGAGGCATCACACTTGGTTCATTGGAAGACTGAAAGTAGCAACTAGCAAAGCACGGTTGGTTCTCTTGCAGAGGACCTGATCAGAGGGCACTACTGGTGGCTCAGGGAGTACAGAGTACAACACATCAATCCCAAATTGGTGTTTGAGGGTGCATAAAAATAAATTCTATTCAATTCATGACGACAAATACTTATTACTTTATGCTGTAAGCTTTTAGACGGCTGGGTTGAGCAAACAGCATAGTTCTCCTTCAAGTTTGTGGACAAGTTATAAAGCATACGGAGCCACAAGTCTCTAATTTATTGGGTTAGATATAGGATCCTATGTGATTGAGTCAGTGTTTACAACCCATGCTTTTAAATTTTAATCAACAATTAAACGATCCAATTAAACTGTTTCAAACTATCAGAGCCATGCTCCTCTTTGTGGTGGTAAAAACAAAAAAACAAAAAAAGGAGCTAGATGCTCATAAGGGACCATATATAATTAAACAGTGGAACTAAATATATCAAAGCTTCTATTGTTAGGACTGCATGTAATGAGTTTTTTTTAAAACCATAAAACATGCAAAGAATTTAAGTAATTCATGCTCATGTTAATCAAAAGCTAGAGTATCATGCTGTTATGATGCATCTTGGTTATCACTCTAAATAGTTGACTTCAGTTGTCACCTGTGAAAATTTCTTCTTCATTTCATCAAAGAGACTTTGTCTGCAACTCCAAAACATATCCTATAAAAACAAAATTAATAACAAATCATAATGCTTTAAAAAAGTATGGATGTTTTGTTTGCAGAGCGTTTATTCTGTATGCAAAGTGGATATCAGCTTCTTATCACATCTTTTTTAAAGTTTATTTAAAAAAATTAAATCTTCCAAATCAACTGTAATTTACAGGGCAAACTCTGCTAGAGAATTCTACATTTAAGTTGTGTAACTTCCTAGACTAAAAGAATAAATAGGATTCAGAAAATGTTGATAAGTGATGATATGCTATTTATACAAAGTAAAAAAATTAATGAGCGCAAAAATATCAGTTTAAAATAATCCACCTCTGTAAATAAATTTAAATTAATGTAATTCTACTTGTTATTTTGCCTTTTTACAATAAGTATTTATCTCACATAGTGACACTGATAACTTTGCTCGACTGGTTTAAGTAACCAGATCAGAATATAGGCTTTTAATTCAGAGTTTATTACTCCATTTATATATTATTAAATTAGTCAATTTAACATGGGTTCATATCAGATTAGAATATTTTCTTTAGCAGTAATTTCAGTTAATGTGAACTGGTTGGCAAAAATCTTAACCACAACTTGTGCAAGAAAAGATATTGTATACTACAAGATTCGAAAACATAGCATAAGTAGTTGAATAAATAGATGACAAGTTTTTTGATAAATGTATATTATAAACCTACATCAGATGCTGCTGCTAGTTTAAGTCTTTTTTTGCTAAAATGTTTCAGTTTAACAGCGAACTAATTCCTTAAGTCCCGTAGCTCCCATTGGCTGGGAACAGCGAACCGTGGCCACAGGGAGCTGAGGGGCTCCATGCCTGCAGATGCTCCAGGTAAACAAAACGTCCTGACCCGCCAGCAAAGTTTTCCAACCCCTGAAATATAGGGTCGGCTTACAAAAGGGTCATACAGTTTTTGCTATTTTTACTTATCCATCTTGGGGAATTGGCTTATAAACGAACGGGCTAATGAACGAGTATATACGGTACTTCGTTGTTATTGAGAAACTGACCCCTTTTCTTGATACAACGGAGACATGGAAAACTGCCACTTAGGTCATATGTTCCAGATCATGGTATTAACTACACTACTTAGAGATGGACTGCTGTTGAAGACGACAGTCAAACTTTAAAAAATTCCTCATATTTCCTAAATACAATATATTTCTGTGATTAAAGTCACTCAGTCTTAATACCACACACTTTCTTAACTGCACTGATTTGGGATATATTATACAGCTATTTCCTAGCAGTTGAACGTTTATATTTTTCAAATACTGCATGACTATGAATTAAACTGCATGCATTCTATTCAGCATCTGAGAGAAAAAGCTATCTTTGATATCCCAGTATCAATTCTAAACTAACATTTAAAAAGATAAGACTGTACTGTACATGAAGACTCCTAAACTTATTTACCTGTATTTTAGAAATTATAAAGTTACACCTCACTAACACTTAATGGGTTACATAATATGTTTTGTAAAGTACACAACAGGAGAGCTACTCTCCCCAGCATGAGGACTGGAGAATGCCCACTAATTTGTGCATGTTTTCCTGCACAAATTCAGCCTGGATACCCAACACTGAGGTCAACTTTCTAAGAAGATCTTGATGTGCCCAGAAATCCCCCGGTGCTGGAAAGAAATCGTCTGGTGCCATGGCATCATCCAATGACAAGGAGGATGAAGAGTAGCTGGCTGCTCTTGGTTCAGTACTGAACCCTGTCCAATTACGTCAGGCTGTACCTACTCAGAGGTAGCATCCTCCAGCTGACTATGCAGCATGGATACCCTAGAGTAGGTTGAAGATCGGGACCTAAAGGAATGGGGAGCGTCCTATGGCATCAGTGGCCAATAAGTAGTGGGCCGAGAGCCCCTATATCTACTGTGTGATCAGTACCAGGATTGGTAACAGACATATATCCGGATCAAACCGTAGACCAGCATCTAGGGGATGAAGGGAAAGTGAATGAAGATCTCAAACTCGACCCAGATGAACCCCCAAAGTCATCCTAGAAGCAATGGAAGGGGGTAATTTCTGGCAGAGCCAACCACAGTCCAGCCTCATCTAATATCCAATATGTTGACTGCATCGGCTCAAGGTTGGTAGAGAAGTTGATACACTAAGGGTTGCCCAGAGCAACACGTTCTCACTCAGTAGCAACCCTGAAAGAGATCCCAGTTCTGAGGTCACCACCAGTTCTGGCACTTGTCTCATTAGGGTAGCCAGGCTCAACAGCAATACCGAGGACGGTGTTGGTGCCGTAACTACTGATAAAGTCATGACTGCTAAGTGTTCCTGTGTGATTGGAGAATCTGGGATCGAGAGGGATAATAGGTCTGACATTGCCCAGTAGGCTAGGAACGTGGTCATCATTGGTACCAGATTCATGCATGGTGCTGGAGTCGACGGTACAACCTTGCGATATTGTCTTGGTACTAGGGAATGGGTCAATGGCCCAGCTCTCTCACAAGTACCCAAGGAGCCACAGTGCCAGTCAGCAGAGATTAACATGGAGGACGACAGCGCTCTTCAAGATCTGGAGTGGCTATGGTCCAATTTATGGGCCCTTTTTCTTGGTGGGATTCAAGGAAGGGAAATGATCTCTTCGCCTGTTAAAGGCAGGCTCTGAGTCCTGCCAAGGAACATCAGCATGCTGTGGCTTCAATGGTGGCTGAGGAACTTGTAGCATCTTTGGTGACGATATAGGCCTCACAGCTTGCTCCATCGGTGCTGCTTGAGTCTCAAATCCCTTGCCAGCAGTGTCCTTTTCTTACAGAAGGAGCATCTGTCCTTAATATGCCCCTCTCACAGGCACAAACATGTGTGGGTATCATTATTCACAACTGCCCATCGTATATGTTTGTGGTGCGATGTTTAAATCCTGGTGAAGGAATTCCACCAGGAAACTACAACTAAATAACCTAACTAACCAACCTAAGATACTACTAATAAACAACTAACTAAACTATTTACAAGACGTTCAAGGACAGAAAAAAGGGGCAGTGTGAAGAAACACTATTAAGAGTGCTGCAACTGTAGCAGCAGGCAGTGAGAAGGAACTGAGGCAGACAGGATGTTGCTGCCCTTAGCTAGCCAGCGGAAGGGCTATGAGGCAAATGGTGTGAGCGTCACTCCTACAGGTATTGCGAGGCAAATTTCTCCAGCTTTGGTGCGCTGTGTGCGCACACCTGAGTGGAATACATTTTTTTTTCTTTTTTTAAGCCAAAAGTATAAACAGAGTTAAGCCAGACACCTTTAACATACTGTGTACTTATCTTCTACAAAATACTCCATAATTAAAATAAAATTAAAACAGCAAGTATTGAAGCTCTTTAATAGTCTCAATAAAATAAAATAAAATAAAATAAAATAGAAGTTTTTAGGGCACTAAATTCATTCAGCAAAATTGTTGAAGGTTTTTAAGAACAGGCTGGACAAATACCAATGTGGGATGATGAGGTTTACTTGGTCCCACCTCAGTGCAGGGGGCTGGACTTGATGACCTCTGATTTCTAAAAGTAAATATAAACAAAGAGCGTGTATTCATGCCGGCACTGGAGAAGTTTGGTAATGGGGAGAAGAGCAGTATGTAGGTGAACAGCAGCATATTTGGAGACCAGATTACAAAGTAATGCCAAAACTAGCTTAAAAGGATCATCTGATAAAGCTACAAAATGAAAGTTTCCAATCCACAGACAGTTTTTAACTGTATGAAAAAAGGCATTTTCAAATATAACTTGAAGAATGCTCTTTTAGAGTATAACAAACAGGTCTTACAATTTGTTTTATCTAAAATTTCTCTTAATGCTCTAATCCTCAGTACAGCATATATCATTTTGTAAAAATTATTTCATGTTTACTCTATAATGCAACAAAAGTCTTTCCCAACTACTTTTCCAAGTAATTTTGAAGGGCAATTTCAGTGATTTATTGTTCAATACTGTAATCAGAATCTCAAACAACCCAAGTGAAGTTAACAGCAATTTTGCATATGTGAGTATGCAGAATTGAGCCCCTATGTCATATTAAATATTTTAAACGTTTTCCAAAAGCCTAATAAGTCTATTTAAAAAAAACAGAAATAAAAAACGTAATGTAAACATTCCCACATATTTGCAACTCGAAACATTACAGCCACATGCTAGTACATAAGCACCAGAAGTGGGGAAAAAGTGAAACTGCTCATCCACAACGAAGGAAATCCAAAGCTATTATTTTCAAACCAGACCCGTAAGAACAGTAGTCATTGCCAAATCATGCAACAAGGAAGAAATTACTTAAATTGTTATTCTGTTTCTCTTAAGATATCTTGCAGAATTCTCATTTCTGGTCTGAGCAACTTAGCAGAAAACAGGTGGCAATATCTAAGCCCTTAAGGTTTTATGGCCCTTACAGGCAAGAGTAATAGCAGAGGAGTGAGCCGCCAACACCACCCATCAGAAGTGGCTCACTTAAACATGGCTCTTTTAGTGATTACCCTACACAGCAAATTGTCTTCAAATGAAACAAAGATATGGATAGACTTCAAGAGTTCTAGTCTCCTCCAACTAACATTTCAAAGACCTCTTAAGCCAGAGAAAGGCCTTTCCACACCCACATGCATACCCAGGTGAGAACATAGATAGCAGGCTTATTAACTGTCACTGTACTGGATAAGAATCTCAGATATGAGACCATAGCACCACCTTATCCTTGTCAAACTTAGTATTAGGTGGATCAGTCACAGGGGAGCTTAAACTTCTGTCACTCTTTATGAGCTGGTCATTTCCACCAGCAAAATGACCTGGCTAAAAAGGCATTTTTGTAAGTTTTGTCAGGACTCTATTAATATTAGTGTGGGCCTTTTTAATCCAGATTTTGAAAGCATCAAGCTCCCCATGAATCTGATGACAAGAGGTTGCAGAGACTTGTGTCTTTATTTCATGACTAGTTGAAAGATGTCAAATGAACCCAGTTGAACTTAGTTTTTTATTTTAACACTCAAG